GGAAACTCATGATTTGGCACTACACTTTGCTGCCCAGCTCGTACCCAATCCCTCTATCCATTTCATTAAAAGTTGCAATAGACATGCTTACTAGGTGGCTCCATGTAATGTGCCCATACAGCTCACCCCTCACACCCATCGGTGCACTCAGAGGTTATTATAAACATTATAAACCTGGGCGCCGCACGTGCATGGGATAAAAAGGCCATCATACCGGATTTAGATGCAGGGTTACCGGAGTCATAGCCCAGCACCCTCCCAGCTGCCGCGTCCTTCTTGAATTTGGCATCAAACGGTGAGAGGCTGTGCTGCATGGCCATCAGGGTGTCCCTGACCGTCTTGGGCTTGTTGATCCACTCGTCAGCCCTGGCCTTGTGGCTCTCCCCCAGCTCGGAGTAGCTGTCCGCCCGCTGCTTCTCCTTGCCATCGTGCTCGCTGCTGGACACGGAGCCGGGCCGCTTGCCGCCCATATCGGTGGAGGTGGTGGCTGCCACCAGCGAGGCCGCGGGGATTCCCATCGCGGCAGCCCGGCCGCTGACCGAGCCCATGGGCGAGCCATTCATGAGGGCCCCGAGGGCGGGCAGCACGGCACTAGTCCTGCGCAGGTTGGGGCTCTGCCGGTTCAGCTCCAGCGGGTCATCGGACTTGGGGAAGCCGTTCGGGAGGAGGATGCCGTTAACCTGCCTCCCCCCCACACTGTAATCCGAGGTGAGGCGGGGCGGCGGCCTCTCCAGCGGGTAGCGATCCAAAGTTTGTGGCGGCTGCGCGCTCCTGGGAATGCTCTCCGCTCCCACCACCGAGTGCCCGATCTGCGCCATCTCCTTGGACAGCGGCGGCTTGGCCGTGCTGGAGGGCGGGGGCCCCGGAGAGCGGCCCTCCTGGAAGCCATGCGCTCGCTTCAGGTGTCGGGCGGTCTCGATGACGAACTCGATGCGGTCGGCGCCCTCGTAGTTGACGCAGCCCCGGCACACGGGCTCGGTGAAGTCCCAAATCATGGCCCAAGGCATGCGGGGCAGGTCACACAGGTAGCACGACTGCCTCCGAGACATGGCCACCGCGGTGGACGACATGACAGCCACACAGACAGCAATCCAATGTCACAGGGCGGCCGGGGTCCGCGTCACACGGCAGGGAGGGAGGGAGGCAGGCAGAGCGAGGCCGCGGTTCAGGGCGCTGCGGGCTGGAGGGAGCGCGGTGTCGGCAGAGGATTGCGGCAGACATGCACGGAACGCCCTACTTGGAATTGACGGGAGGTGAATTTCTTTAAGTGCATCGCCTCTCGCTTCCCTGAACTGCACAACTCCCGGGAGGGAGGAGAGCGAGGGACGGCTGGGGGGAGGGGAGCGGCCTCGCTGATTGGCTGCGCTCTCAGTCACCAGAGCAACCCCCTACCAAAAAGCTCAAAACAACTTGAGACTTAACTCCTTCCTCCCCGAGCGGGCACGCAGGGCTTACACGTTTAACTCCTTCTGAGCGGGGATAAGGCAAAACAGGAGCTCAAAGAGAAAAGCTCCGACAGCACTACTAAGGCCAGTACCGCCACCGCCGCCTTCGTTAATGTTGACGGGGAGGGAGGGAGGGAGGGAAGAAAGGGTCCGTGACGTCACTAGCTGTTGTAATCCCAAATTCTCTCTATTTACTTTGCGTTGTCGACACTTTGCGCGCGTGCGCACTAACGGTCATTGCGTGCCCGCCCACGCCACCTCCCTTTCTTTTGAAATGCTGCCAAACAACAAACACAGAGCTGGAGCAGGCCGAGAGCGAGGCTGGCTGGGTTACTAAGTGCTGTGTCAAATTATTCATGGAGAGGGCGACGTGTGACGTCACACACGCTGGAGAGAAACAGCGGCCTTATACAAAATTAATAAACCTACACTAGTTTGTTGTTTTTTCCCTTAATGGGAATGTGATTTTTTGAAATACACCTGTCATAATTAATATGAATTACTGTTACTTTTAAGGTGTGTCTCCATGTTAACATTCTTCATGTACACAACTTCAAACTCTTATTAAAAAAAACTCCAAAACAAAATGTATAACTAGCACTTGTTTCTGTGAAAAATGTAAATATTGAATAAATAATATAGCTTGGTTGCTACATCCAAGTGCTGCTTCAAAGTGTGTGATTGGTGATAAACAGGAGACAATCTGAGGACAACATTTTTTAAAAATTAAGGTTTGATTTAAATTATTCACCTCATTAAAATGGCAGACTTAGTTCAGTGTAATAGTAGTACATGTCTGTTACTCCACCCATTGTACAGCACTACGGAATCTGATGGCGCTATATAAATAATAATAGTTATGCATTTGTTTCACATTCCACTTTTTTGAGATTTGGATACTATCTAATCTGTAGACAGTTGTTTATATTGTGACAGGAGATTCTATTTTTGAAGTCTGAGATTTGTAAATTATCTTGTTAACAAACTCAGACGTACTAGGAATGGCAGATGGATTACTGTAGGATCTGGTAGACTTAGAGTTGTGGATAAAATTATTATTGCCATTTATATAGCGCCAACAGATTCTGTAGCGCTTCACAATATTATGTGAGGGGATTTAACTATAAATAGGACAATTACAAATAAACTTACAGGAACAATAGGTTGAAGAGGACCCTGCTCAATCGAGCTTACATTCTATAGGAGGTGGGGTGTAAAACACATTAGGACAGGAATTTGCAATCAAATAAGGTGGGCTGCCCTTTAGGAGAGGGCAAGAGACAGGTATGTGAGGTAGGGGTTAGTCTTGGAGGCCATAAGCTTTCATAAAGAGATGGGTTTTAAGGCACTTCTTAAAAGATGCAAGACTAGGGGAGAGTCTGATGGCGGGAGGCAGGCTATTCCATAGGAAGGGAACCGCCCGCGAGAAGTCCTGCAATCGCGAGTTGGCCGTACGGGTGCGGACAACGGACAGGAGGTGGTCACGGGCAGAGCGGAGAGACCGAGAAGGGACATACCTATGGATCTGTGAGGAGATATAAGAGGGGCTAGAGTTGTTCATTGCTTTATAGGTGTGAGTTAGTGCCTTGAATTGACTCCTATAGCACACAGGAAGCCAATGTAAGGACTGGCAGAGGGGTGAGGTATGAGAGAACCGACTAGAGAGGAAAATCAGTCTAGCAGCAGCGTTCATTACAGACTGTAGGGGTGCAGTACGGCTTTTGGGAAGACCAAGCAGGAGAGGGTTACAATAATCCATGCGGGAAATTACTAGAGCATGGACAAGCTCCTTGGTAGTATCTGGTGCAAGAAAGGGGAGGATGCGGGCTATGTTTTTAAGATGGAATCTACAGGATTTGGCAACATGCTGGATGTGAGGCTCAAAGGTGAGACCAGAGTCAAGTATGACGCCAAGACAGCGCGCTTGCAAGGATGGGCTGATGTTGGTACCACAAACTTGAAGGGAGAGCGAAAGAGGAGGATCAGTATTAGGAGGAGGAAAGACAAGGAGCTCAGTTTTTGAGAGATTGAGTTTCAGAAAGCGGGAGGACATCCAGTCAGAGATGGAAGAAAGGCAAGCAGTGACACGTTGCAGGACAGCAGGGAAGAGGTCTGGGGAGGAGAGATATAGCTGGGTGTCATCAGCTTACAGGGGGTAGTGGAATCCAAATGAGGTAATAAGTTTGCCAAGAGAGGCAGTATAAAGAGAAAATAGAAGGGGACCAAGGACGGAGCCTTGTGGGACTCCAACCGAGACAGGGCGAGGGGAGGAGGTATCATTAGAAAAAGAGACACTGAATGAGCATTGGGAGAGATAAGAGGGAAACCATGAGAGGACAGAGTCACAGAGACCAAGCGATTGCAGAGTTTGAAGAAGGAGAGCATGATCAACGGTGTCAAAGGCCGCTGAGAGGTCAAGAAGAATTAGTATGGAGTAGTGGCCTTTGGATTTAGCTGCGATTAGGTCGTTAGTAACTTTGATAAGGGCAGTCTCTGTAGAGTGGAGAGGGCGGAAGCCAGATTGAAGGGGGTCAAGGAGAGAGTTGGAATTGAGGAAATGAGACACACGGGTAAAGACAAGTCTTTCCAGAAGCTTTGAGGAAAAAGGGAGCAGGGATATGGGACGGTAGTTAGAGGGGGTGGACAGGTCGAGGGATGGTTTTTTTAGTATAGGTACTACAGTGGCATGTTTAAGGTCAGCAGGGACGATGCCAGAAGAGAGCGAGCAGTTGAAGATGTGTGTTAGAGAAGGCACGAGACAAGTGGAGAGAGATCTGATAAGGTGAGATGGGACAGGATCGAGTGGGCAAGTGGTGGGGCGAGAGGAGCAAAGAAGAGCAGCCACCTCTTGGTCAGTGGCTGGGGAGAATGTCTGAAGGGTAGGAAAGGCATGAACTATGTGTGATTGAGAAACAGAAAGGCAAGGAGGGGAGAATTCTTTCCTTAGCTGTTCAATTTTGTCAGTGAAGGAACATGCAAAGTTATCAGCAGTAAGGTTGGTTTGGGGGGTGGCCACAGCGGGGCGAAGAAGAGAATTAAAGGTGTCAAAGAGACGCCTGGGGTTGTGGGAACATGAACTAATGAGAGAGGAAAAATAGGACTGTTTGGCAAGGGCTGCACTGTATGAACACAATATGAATCTATAATGGAGAAAGTCTGACTGGGTGCGAGACTTCCTCCAGGAGCGTCCAGCACAACGGGAGCATCTTTGCAGGTAGCGGGTTGATTAGTATGCCATGGTTGGGGGCGGGTCCTCCTTGAGGTGCTTGTTTGGAGTTGCGCTGCAGTGTTCAAGGCAGATGTAAGAGTAGAGTTATATATGGAGATGGCCAGTGAAGGACAGGAGAGGGAAGGGATGGACAGCAGTTGTGTATCAATGTCAGCTGACAACTGTTGGAGATCAAGAGAATTAATGTCCCTCCTGAGTTGAGGCTGGTTAGGCGGAGGTTGTTGGGTGAGGGGGTACTTGAGAGCAAACGATAAGAGGTGGTGATCAGAGAGTGGATACGGAGTGTTGCAGATATTAGATACAGTACATGCATAAGTGAAGATTAGGTCAAGGGTATTGCCAGCTACATGGGTGGGAGAATTTGCCCACTGTGATAGCCCGAGGGAGGAAGTAATTGAAAGTAGTTTATTGGCTGCAGAGGTCAAAGGTGGGTTTATAGGAATATTGAAGTCCCCGAGAATTAGAGATGGGATGTTAGAAGAGAGGAAATAGGGTAGCCAGGCAGAAAAGTGGTCAAGGAAGAGAAGAGGGGAACCAGGGGTACGGTAAATAACAGCAATGTTAGCAGAGAAGGGTTTGAAAAGGCGAATTGAGTGTATTTCAAATGACCGGAAAGAGAGGGAAGGGGGGGGGTTTCTTGGGTTGTGGGTAAGTTGGAGACCACCGAAGGACAAAGATGCAGGGGTGTCAGAGGGGGAGAGCCAGGTTTCTGTTAAGGCTAGTAAATCTTTTGAACGAGAGATGAAGAAGTCATGGACAGCAGTGGATTTAGTTATATTGCAAACAGAGCGTGCGTTCCAGAGGGCAGTATTGAAGGAGGATTTAGAGGAACAAGAGATGGGTATGAGAATAGTGTGGATCCTTGGGTTAGTATGTGCTGAGTTTGCTGAGAGGGGACCGGGGTTTGGAGAGACATCACCAGCTGCTAGGAGCAGAAGGATAGAAAGGAAGTGAAGGTGGGAGTAGGATTTGAAAGTTTTGTAGGAGGGTATGTATGTAGAGGATTTGGAAAGAGTTGGTGGAGATAGGCTGGAAAGGTATGTGTAGAGTGCATATTACACATACAGGGTTGGGGCGGGCATATCACACAAACTACAGGCCTTCCTCCCGGAGCTAGTCCATGGAGACCAGGTGGGATTCACCTCGCAACGCGAGTTGCGGAACAACACGACTCTGGCATTCGCCCTGATTCACACGGCAGATGCGGAGATGGCCTTCGACTGAATCGGGCTTCATGCTCATAGTTCTGGAAACGCTGGGCATGGGGCCCTATATGATGAGCTGGATTAAGGCCTTGTACTCTATGCCTACGGTGCCTATCTGCATCAATGGGGCTTTTACCAACGCTTTCTCGATACCGAACGGAACCAGACAGGGTTGCCTCCTTTCGCCCCTGCTCTTCGTACTGGCCCTCAAACCTTTTCTGAATTCAATACGGGACAATCCCGACATTCTAGGGATTCTGGTGGGAAGGAGAAACATTCGGTGGTGGTGTACACAGACGACCTGTTGTTCTTAGTCACCGAGCCCGAAACCTCCATGCCTGCTATTATGGAGGAGTTCACAACATATGGAGTGCTGTCAAATTTTAAAATGAACTAAATCCACGATCCTTAATGTCTCAGTCCCACATTCCAGAGCTTTAGCCCTGAAACAGGAACCACCTTTCCAGTGGTCAGACACTAACCTGAAATATCTCGGCACTGTGATCACAAAAGATCTTACCCAGCTAATTTCCAGCCACTTTTGAACATGCTACACAAAGACCTGGAGGAATGGGCAAAGGTCCGCCTCTCCTGGTTCGGAAGGATAGGGGTACTCAAAATGAACGTCCTACCCAGGGTCCTTTATCTGTTCCAGACTATTCCCATTGCTGTCCGAGGCCTTCTTTGCTCCATGTCCCTTAAGTTCACATGGCCCAAACTCAAAGCGCGGATCAAACACGACAACCTTACGTTACCGAAAATGAAAGGGGGCCTGGCCCTACCAGACAAAGATGTACCGCAGGGCCACACACATTCAAAAATTAGTGGAGTGGACCAAATCGGGAGCAACCAAACTGTGGAAGGACATTGAGACCTCACATCGACAGACCTATTTCTGTCCTCCCGTGGCTAGATTACCAACAGGGCAGGCACCTGGCTGCCCCACACCCCCTCATTAGAGCGACTATGCAGGTCTGGCACATGCTGGCTGCACCTCTATCGCTCACTAGCACACCTTCTCCATTGCTCCCTTTGGCCCACAACAATGCTTTCCCACCGCGAATGGAAGCGGGGACACTCAAACGCCTGTTAGGACAAGAAATACTCCGGATCTGCCATGCTCTGGAAAATGGCACAATGCGATCCCTTGACTTCATGGTGCTGAATGAAAGACACTACGCTTCAGGTATAAGCAGCTAACTTAGTTCGCGCTCTCCGTAATCCAGGGTAACTTCACCTCCAGACCACTAACAGAATTCAAGGCAACATGCCAAGACCCCGACCCACTGGTATGGGGTCTGTCCACACTTTACGGAGGGCTCTTGAGGATGAGGAGACTGCCGCCGCCGAGCTTCATGGGAAAATTGGAAGTGGCCTTGGGTATCACGTTCACACCGGCCCAATGGAATAAAATATGCACCCTTTCGCTGCACTGCACACAGTCGAGCAGGACACAGGAAACGGCATACAAAGTTCTAGCTCTCTGGTACCGCATCCCACATTTCACCCATATCTATGACCCCACTGCCGAAGATACTTGCTGGAGATGTGGTGGGGAACAGGGCACTTTCATACACTTATGGTGGGACTGCCTACAGATCAAACCATACTGGGCAACAATCCACACAATCATCACACAGTTCTCAGACATCACACCACTATGCATAATTCGGAGTATAAAAAAAATCCCAATCAGGATACTCAATGTCGCCTAAAGCCTGATCCCACTCTACTGGAAAAAAGACAGAACCCCCCCGACTCTGTGGTACCAACACATGGAGGACCTCAGAGAGCGAGAGGAGCTCTCCTTTCTGGCAGAGGGGAGATCACAGACCTACATGATGACTTGGACACACTGGATTCTGATCACCGAACATCCTGACTTCCAGGCTCTTATACACTGACTAAAAAACCACCACCGAGACACGACGAGTAGAACGGGTGACACCAACAATTACTGACACATGCAACCCAGATACATAGCACTGACCTGGAATGCCCGTGGGGAATGGGGCCAAGGGAGGAGAGGGGGAAAACACCAAAACACGTAGAAACACGACACAGAATAACCGGCCGTGCAAGGGGGAAAGTACAGCATAGCTGAGGCTTCAAACACTGCAGACCCGAAGGCCAAACAGCCTAGTTAAATACCTGTTAAAGACATTACTGAAAATGGTAGATGTAGGGGCTTAAATGCCTAGACATCGAGATGAACGCATGAGAACAAGCAAAGGTGATTGTTTATAGAATGTCTTATCTTGAATAGAGAGCGGAAACGAGAACAGCTAGTTAGGGTAACTTTCAACAGAAGCAGAATGTCATAAATTCTCCATGTAACCTGAGACACGCCTCAGCGGCGACCTAAACAACTCTGATCTTAGGGCGCAATGAGAGATCTGCGCATCTCTAGATAACTATTACTAGATACCAAAACTGAAACCTGCGTGTTTCACCACACTAACCACATCTTTCTTCTTTCTGTAACGTTACAAAATTCTTTAATAAAAAATAAATTTACACAAAAAGGCATATTGTACAGTCTGTTGCTCTACATAATTAATTTTCAGCACTTTTTAGAGTGTAATGGTTTTGTTTGGAGACCAGCTCAGGCACCAACAGTGGTGTTGTGGAGACAGGCTCAGGCACCGACTGTAGTGTTGTTGTAGAGACAGGCTTGGAGACTATGATGAGGCCTTATAAAAAGTAGTTGTTTTTGGGGTATTCTATCATAAGAGGTGTGGAGCTGGGCAATAGTGGTCTTGTGAGATGTCTTCGCGGAGCTACTGCTCACAGAGACAGGAGACGTATCTGTAATATTGTTAAGCAAGCAAAGCAGGAAGGGGAATTGGATGTACTTGTGCATCTAGGGACAAATAACTTTGCTTGCAATGAGGTTTCAGAGGTAAAGGAAGTATTTGTGTTTTTGCCAATGATTCACGGCAGGTTGCTTCCACACTGTCATTCTCTGAAGTTCTGCCTGTGCATAACACTCAGAACGACAGGCAGATGCGTATTAGGGACTTTAATTTGTGGCTTGGTGAATGTTGTCGGGAGCAAGGATTTGGATTCATTTCTAAAGGGAAGCTCTGTTTTGAATGGAAATAAACTGTACAAAAAATATGGTTTACATCTTTGTCAAAAGGGAACAAATGGTCTCAGTGAGCAGTTCAGAGGTTTTGCTAGGATGTATTTGTACTGGGAGGGGGAGGAGGGGACAAAAGGGTGATAAAACATCAAAACAATTGCCCCCTAAAACAAGGACAGAAGGTGCCTGTAGCAAGTGTGTTAAAAAACGATAAGCTCAGAGGCATGTCTACAAATGCTCACAGTTTAGGGAATAAGATCCATGAACTTGTGGCAATAATTGCAACTGATAGTGTAGATTTAGTCGCTGTAACTGAGACATGGAATAATGAGAAAAAATTACTAGGACATAGCAATACCAGGGTAACCTTTAAAAAAGACAGGGAAGGCAAGAAAGGGGGAGGGGTGGCCCTGTATGTGAAGGATATCATAAAATCTAGCCTCATAAAAGTTAGGAAAAAGGACAAATGAGTCATTTGTTACATGTGACTTTACAGAGGAAGAGGTTATTTCAACTGTTAAAAGTAAAGACAAACAGGTCAATGGGACCTGATGGAATACACTCAAAGTTATTAAAAGAGCATAGTGGTGTACTAGCAAAACCATAAACATATTTATTCAACCAATCAATGTTAACAGGAGTAGTCTCAGAAGATTGGAAGTTATCAAATGTTGTGTCCATTAACAAGAAAGGTAGTAGGGAGGAGTTGGGCAACTATAGGCCTGTAAGCCTTACTTCAGTAGTGGGGAAAGTAATGGAAACCATGTTAAAGGATAGGATTATTGAACATCTAAAATCACATGGATTTCAATATCAGAGACAACGTGGGTTTACTTCAGGGAGATCATGCTAAACTAATCTTATTGTATTTTTGATTGTGTAACTAAAATAATAGATCAGGGTGGTGCAGCAGACATTGCTTACCTAGATTTCAGTAAGGCTTTTGACACTGTTGCACATATAAGGCTTATCAATAAACTGCAATCTTTAAGTTTGGATTCCAATATTGTGTGGCAACTGGCATTTAATGTGGATAAGTGCAAGATAATGCATATTGGATGTAAAAAGGGCACAGTACAGAATATTTGATAGTCCTAACCTCTACATCTGAGGAAAGGGATTTAGGAGTGATTATTTAATGACTGATGACTTAAAGGTAGGCAGACAATGTAATAGAGCAGCAGGAGATGCTAGCAAAATGCTTGGTTGTATAAGGCGAGGTATTCGCAGTAGAAAGCGGGAAATGCTCA